AGACTTGTATACTGGTTTAAATTTATTAATATAATTTCTAAAAATAATATTTTTTTATTCTTCATAATCTAACATCACCTAAATTGTAAGATAACACAAGGTTTTTAATGTCTAATGGCGAATCATAAAATATCATACAATATTAATATATGTATTTATTTAGCTAGGTATTTAGTTATGTGTTTAATCAATAATTTCAGGTGTTTCTTCTGGTTGTAATGAATTTAGGTATTGTTGGTGCAGTTTGGTCTTTTTATGTCTTAATATCCAATTTCTACTACACTTTTTCCCACATTCACAAACAACTCTGTGTTTTCCTTGTTCTCTTTTTCTGGTGCTTATTTCATCCTTATGAGTTTCATAATATACCTTTGCTCTTTGTATTGCTTCTTCTCTATGTTTTATATATTTATTTCTATCAATTTCTTTATACTTTTCTGGGTTTTCTTTTCTATCATTCTTTTTGTATTCGTATTTTTGTTTAGCACTTTCTCTTTCTCGTGCTAGTGCTTCTAATTGGTTATTTAACTGATTAGTTTCTATTAATATCATTTCAACATTATTGAAACCCACATTGTCACGAATAAACTTATATACTGGAAAGTTATACTTTTTATCATTTGGATTATTACACCGTTTCCTATGACCTGATTTTCTTTCTTTAAAATTAGTTGTGTGTCCGATATACATATTTGGATTATCTAAATCTTTACAAACAATCTTGTAAAAATGTGTGGTTGAATAGTCTACAGGTTTTTTGGCATAATAGTTCATTAAGTGTTATAATAGGTTAGCCTTTAAATATTTACATATTTTAAATGCTTTCTCAAACCTGATGTAATACATCTTATTAATGTCTTTAGAATTCATATTTATATACATAAATGAATATGGAGCATCACCCACTGCCGTGTGATACATTTGTACTAATCTTTCTTTATCAAGGACTGCTGAATGTTCTTCTATGAAACTCATTAACTCGGTGGCATTCTTCAACCTGAAAATATACAATGAACTGGCATTTAACCTAGTGATTGGTGCTAACACATTGTATTTTTGCGTTGAACAAATAACACTAATGGCATCGTGCCTACCTCTTGTAAATAAACCGTGTAATAATTTACTATATCTAACAAATTTAGTATCATCGGCGTGGTCATCAATAACAATAAGAATTGAATATAGTTTCTTCATTTTAGTATTTTTCATATAATGTATTATTTTTCTTTGTGTATTACTGATAGTTTTCAATTCTTCTGGTCGGTCGGTATTCATCAAAATATACTTGCTCTTTTGTATAATCCACCTTCATTTCTTCTCGTTGGTATTTCTTGACTTCAACAAAAGTAGGGTCATTATGTACGCTCGGACTAAAAATAAAGACACGAGAGAAACAGTTGTTATATACATTTAATATCAATTTTTGAATTAGAACTGTTTTGCCACCTGTTGAAGAAGCAACTATAATGCTTCTAAAAGGTAGTTTTGGCACGTGCTCATATTTAGACTGTTTAAATTCATAGTCAGTTATGTTTATTGGTTTTACTATGGGAACATCAGGCATAATAAAATAATATTAAAGATATTTAGAAAATAATTTAATATTATTTATTGTATGAAAGCATTGCTATGATATGAATGGGGTCTATCGTAGTAGAACAGGCTCTTTCATCAACTTCAATCATAAGCATTGAGACTAATTAGTTTGAATTAGTTTGAACCTCGCTTGTGTTGTCCAGTGCAAAGAAAACTCCATTGTTGTGCCCTCCGAACATTCTATCATGCATGAAATACTAAGACTAATTATAGTTTATCTTATTATTCATATGACCATTATCCATTGCAGTTGTGGTAAAACTTATGATAACAAATATTTATTTAAACATCTAAATTTCAAAACATCATCAGAAATTTGTGGAATATAGATGGAATAAAGACGATACAATGAAAACACTTTATAAGAAAAGAAAGACAGAAATGAAAAAATAATTTATCGTATTATTTAATATGAAAAGGAGGTATACAGATTATATTAATATAATAGATGAAGTGGAGAATGTAGAGCAAGTAATAATAACCGAGAATAAAATTAAGAAATGTTGTTATTATTCATTAGAATTAATTCAGCTAGGAATTCAATATATCAAAAATAAAAATGTAAGTATTTATATAAATGCCAAGAAAGAAAAACAAAAAGAATAAGACAGGTTTTTAAGTGTTTCTTCAACTGATGAAGAAAAAGAAGAAATTGTTAAAGAAACATCAGTTATTGAGTTTGCTTGTCCAATGTGTAAAAAGATGTTAGAAATGAAAAATGAATTAGAAATTCAAAAGAAAGGAAATTGTAAATGCTCGTGTATTCCAACCAGTTTCAAAATACGTAGCCATGATAAGAAAATGAATATAGATAAAACTAAAGACAGTATCAACTTAGAAACAGATGTTCACAATATTGCTATACGCTTTGGGAGGGGAGTTACTCCATCCGATAATAGTGATAAGGAAACACAGGAAACTATACGTGAAATGATGAAAAAATAGTATTTAAAGAGTAGATTTAACATAATTGCAACATGTAGTTTTAAAAGTTTAGTTTTATAATTTAGTATATATTTACATGGAACAAGGTTTTAGAACAGAATAAGAATATTTTAGAAATCTTACAAGAAATAGAAAAGAAGAAACCATTAACAAACAGTTATCAAAGTAAAGAAGTAGATAGAACCAATGGTGAATACAAAAATAAGAAACAAGTGTATTTAAACAAACTCAACAACAAAGAGATAAAAGAGCCGAAGTCCTCCACTATGGCATTTTATCAAATTGACTATGATGAAGAATCAGGGATTTATTCATAGATAATATTATCTCAATATCTTTAATAATGAACTTATTAGAACTATTTTCAACCATAATCTTTACCGAACATATGTAAAGAATACATTATATATTTATATTAATCACGACTATGGAAAGCACAGAAGCAGAAACCATTAAAGGTCAAATATACTGTATCAAAAACACATTGAATAATAAAATATACGCAGGAAGCACTAAACAAACCTTACAGAAACGAATGTCAAAGCATAGACACGATGCTAAACATAAAGGAAACATGTTGATACACCAAGAAATGAATAGACTTGGTGTAGAACATTTCTTTATTGAGAAATTGGATAATTTTGAATATAACAACTTACAACAACTACGAAATAGAGAGGGTGAATTAATGGATGAAATGCAGGCAGAACTGAATGAAAGAAAGGCAGGAAGAAACAAACAGGAGTATTACAAAGACAAAAAAGATGTGTTTAAACAACGGTATTTAGACAACATTGATAAAATAGAAGCACGTGATAAAAAGAACGCTATGAAAGAGATAAAGATAAAATCAATGAACGAAAGAAGCAGCACCGTGAAACACATATAGGGCAATACAAGGAAAGAGACAAGCAATATCACTATGACAACAAAGAAAAGCGACTACACAACCACAAAGCCTATGTTGAAGCGAACCCTGAAAAAATGAAAGATTACTACCATCAGTATTACCTTAAAAACCGTGAGAAGAAAAAGGAATACAACAAACGGCGCTATGAGATGTTGAAGCAAATGTCAAAAGACAAGCAAGAGAACTAGACTTTGGAATAACATTACGAATTGGAACGCTAGAGATTCATGTAAAAAGGGTTGTGGCAACATCAGGAATGAACCTTTTTCAACGCATCAAATAGTCAAAGGTCAATGTCCCATTGGTCAAATGTCAATGCCCCATTGGTCAAGTGTCAATGCCTCATTGGTCAAATGATGCCCCATTGGTCAAATGTCAATGCCCCATTGGTCAAGTGTCAATGCTGCATTGGTCAAATGTCAATGCCCCCATTGGCCAAATGTCAATGCCCCATTGGTCAAATGTCAATGCCCCATTGGTCAAAGGTCAATGACACAATTGATTGTGGCTCAACTCACATCTCAGCGTCGCCCTGCTGGCGAAGGGACACCCGACCATTATTTCAATCCATAATTAATCATAATATAATAACATGTAAAATCTTATATGTTATAATTATACTATACTTATGGTTTGTAAAGATTGAAATATTTTAATTTTTCTTAATTTGGTTATCTCTTTCAAAGTGCGTTGTTTGAACTTGGTATTCTCTTTTGATTTTTTGGTGCTTTGACTGTTTGTATTTTATCTTGTTTGATACTCTTCTGATATTTGTTGTTGTTATACTGCTTTGACATTTGTTAGTGTGTGTGTTTTGAGTTTGTGTTCTTTGATGGTTTTTAGTTTTGTTGTTTTGTTGGTATGCTTGTTTGAATTATTTAATGTTGTATGCTGTGATTAAATATTTTGTTGGGGGTTGTTCTGGTTTTTGAGTTGCTTGGTGGTTCTTATCTTGTTTTCTGTGGATTGTGTGTATTTTGTTTTATGCTGTTTGAATATTTGGTTTTGATTTTAGAAATGCCGTTTTAACCCTTTGTGGGGGAGGGGTAATGTCGCCCTTTGCTTGGAATCCTTACTTTGAGACTGCCACTGTCTCATGGCCATGCCGATGGGCGTCTCCCTCTATGGGGGTGTCTAAAAGGTTTACTTTTGAAGAGGGAGCCTTTTGGACCGATCGGAATTCCGGAAGGACATGATGTCCACCAAATGGCCCCTGACAAAAATCGGATTCACTACAGTTCCATGATCAGAGCTCTTTGGTTTCAAAACCGGACCATGCGAGGGGGGGGGTAGTCAGTAAGTTCAATCACCTGCCAGGTGCATAAGGGACCTACCTGCATGGCACTGTTTTTCCTAGATTTTGGTGACTTCCCTCGTTTTTGACGGTTTCTCTTAGGGGTGCCCTTTTCGCGACATTCGTTCAACAAATATCCCCCTCCCGTTTTCGGGTTGACGCTTTGTTGGGCCCAGCTCATTCTCCCGCTGTCCCTTGCCACGCTGAAAAGGGCATCGATCCGTCGATCCGCGCCAAGCGTTCGCCGGGCGCCGGATGTCTCGCAGGTTGCTCATTTATGGCAGCCACCTTCGGGAGGACCCGCGTGCCTTTGGCCATTCCTCGACTTGCCTCCTTGGGTTTCGGGCGAGCGAGAACCCAGGAAGGTTTACCTGGGGATCCCTGTGGAGGTTGACTTGGAGTAGGCCTAGGGGATACAAATCAAGGGATAGGCAAGGGGTAATATGAGTCTAGGCGAGGTACACGCAGATCCATTTTTCTAGGTTTGTGGGAAGCCTCGCAGATATTTCGCAAGGAGGGTCTCTGCCTCCCCTGATCTCAAGACTAACGGAACTACTTTATGGCTATTGGGTACCCATCTTCGGACTTTAACTTTTTGGTGGAAACGGCGGGATTGATTTTTGTTTGGCCCCACAAAAAGAAGTGAGCAACTTTTTGCAGAGGGGTTAACAGCAACCGTGACTCAAGCGCGGCAGTTGCGAGTTCGGACATTCTGAAATGAGACAACTCGGTCCATGAGCTTGCCAATCAAATTGTTAGGATACAACCCAAAACGCAGGCAGTGGGAGCAAATTTCAGCCCGCACATTCCAATGCTTGGTCAGGTAATCCCAGGTACAAAGGAGGCTTCAGGTTCGAGTGAGGAGTCAACCAGCGCACGCGCGAGGACATTCAGGATGGCCTGGGCTATGGCTGGTCACTTCCCGAAGGCCTGAGCTCTTCTGGGACTTCCAGCTCCTTTCCAGCCCAAAACAAGTTTTGTGGATGGACGCAATCCTGCACCACCCAAGAAGACCTGGAATGGTCTGATTCCCTGAAAATACCAACAAACAGTGGTTTCTCATGGTTTCTGAGGTGGTGCACGACTTCGTCCACAGCATGACTCATGTGTCCGGGTACGCGCGGAAAGTCCGTTCTGAGTGTGTGGGGAGGTTTGCCTCTTGTCGTGAACACGGGCGCAGGTGTCTCACCCTCCCTGGATTGGGACAAGCTGATTGAGGCCAAGAACGCTGAGGCAGGAATGCTAGTGACTAGCGACTACTAGGGAGCCTTGGCGCAGGGGTGGAAAGGCTTGAGTGCTTTCTGGATTGGAATCTTTTTGCGGGGTGGTGCTGAAACTCGAGCAAGTCTCTTCCTCAATTTACTGGAGCACTCTATGCTTATGCCGCTTCCTTTCTATGTGCCGTAGCTTTTGTGTAGAGTAGATGTTGTGACATACGCGTAGATGTTGGGATTGCGCAGTTTGGTGCCAGAGACGTAGCCCTTCACGGCTGCTTGGCAAGAGTCCTTGAAACAGTTTGCCTCGGCTCGAGTGCGCAATGCTCGCAGGTCACCCGCCGGGAGCTCGGGGCGCATGTGAGCCACAATCAACACCGGGTAGGCGAAGGTCAATAAGGGATAATCCCAACCATCAATAGCTGCGGCCGCCTTCTTAATTCTTTACATGGTTTGGGTAGACCAGGCTGATCCGGGTTTTGATCATGACTCCTGCGTCATGCAGTGTGGCCAATGTTCAGCTGTGTGTTTTGAGGGTACCAATTTTGGGGCTGGTTTAAAGGGAAACCAAAGGGACATCACCCCTCAAAACAGGTACCCTATTTTGATGCGTGCCCAACTGGGCATGAATTTTGAAGAGGGATACTCCCCAACATGGGTTGGACGTTTTTGACCCCAATGTCACTTTCCAGTCACTGTGACTTTCCTTTGCCAGTCACTGTGACTTTCCTTTGCCAGTCACTGTGAGGAGCGTGTGGCCAATGTGAAAGGCCAAAGTGTAGGGGCTCTTGAATAAAGTAATTACATGAATGGAGGTTTAGGTCCTGCTGGTGGCTGGTTTCCTTGAATCCACTCACAAGGCATGGTATTACGGTAAATGAGGACATTGGGGGTTTCCTTTTTCCCCCTGCAATGTTGACTCACTCCCTGAGTTGAACTGGATTTTAGTCTTTTTTTTTGGTTTGGACCATTTTAGTGGAGAACAACAAGTTTGGCTGCTTTTGTTGCCCAATCCACTCGATCGGAAGTTAGTTGAGTTCGCATCCAGCGAGGCCTGAACGGCATCTACCGGAAGTTGCTGGCTGCAGCCTCGGGTCTCGCGGGTTTTGAGTCTGCGCTCCGGGTTCCAAATCCCACTTTTTGCAACCAGGCAATCTTTGAACTTCGCGTTGGGGAAATCTCGGCAATCTGGAAGTCCTTGAAAAGGAATTGCTTGCCCTGGCCTCATTATGTTACGGCCAGTTTTTTTTTTTTTTAAATCAAAGTCACCCCCTAAGTGATGGGTTAAAGGGAAACAACCCCAGTTTCTGACTTTGACAACCCCTAGAAACAATGAAAATCATGACCCCAGTTGCCGATGTTTATTGCCTCCTGGGCAATGTTGCAACTGAGTTTCCTTAGAACTCCGGAACGGTGCTCTTTGATTCCCACCGATTCCTTGGAATGGGCTTGGGCTTGTGTCAGGATGAGGCAACTGGCGATTCTGGCATAAAGAAAAACGGTGCAACATTGGCTGGGTGTTTAGGGGCAGGCAAATGAGCAACAGATGGCCTGCTGCCACAGGCAGGAGCAAAAGAACTTCCATTTGCTTAATTTGTGATTTTCTCTGGGGAATCTATCACTGCTGGAAATGCGCGTGTTCATCAGATGGGCCCAGTCATACGCTGATTTCTTTCTGTCCAAATCCACTTCCCTTCCAAACTTTTCGGGGAACCCCTTGGCCGAGTACCTTAAAGGAAGTCAAAAGCCTTTAAAATCTCACTTTGGTCGAGATGGAAATTGGCACTGTCCGGGTTCACTGCTGAGTTCAGCAAAACTTCCCTGTTGTTGGCATGTTTTTAGGTGTTCAGCTTTTTTTGGTTCTGTTCAATTTTAGCCGGTGGCTGCAACAAAAACAACAACAAGCTTTTTACTCCCATACCATTTCGGTTGGAAAGAGCTGATAAGCCGTTTTTGGAGCAGAGACAATTTTTCAAGCTGAAGCAAAGCAGGCCGCAACGTCACTTGAGGAAATTGGAGAAGCAAGCTCCAAGGACCCCTTTGGAAGACTTGGTTCCATTTACAGAGGCCTTCTGGGAGCTTCCATGTTAGTTTGAGGGAGTGTACATGGTTCTGGGATCACCGTTTCTTGGTACCAGGTTTTTTCTTACGACTCACCTGGCACTGCGGAGCCAGTCCAAGGTGGGGCATCTTCAGCCCCGATTGGTTCGTGGTGGGGATGAGGTTTTCGGGCCAGCAACCTCGCTTTTGAGAGTGATGGATTTGTCATAGGGACGGACTTTCTGGGTCCCCCAGACAGGTGCCCTTTGACCAACTTTTTTGGGGGAGGGTTCCCTTACTAAAATAGACTACACAAAAAAAGGGTACCCTTATTCTAACCTTTGTACTGGAGAACCTAGCTTGGTATCACAGAAAGGTGACGTGAAATGGGGAAGGTCTTCCAACACGGTTGGTGGACGTAACAGCCCATGCAAAGCACGTGCCGCCGAAGGGCCCTACACGTACGAATGATAGCAATATGTGCTGCAGTCAAAAGTTCCCTGAATCTTTTTTGTGGTGTGTTTTAGGGATGGTCATCGACTTTTAGGTTCTCAGACGGCCACCATATAGGAAAAGGGCCATGACCATGGCCCATGGACGAAACCCTCTTAGCCACCACCGTTCAGAATCCCTGCAATGATGGTTCGCCTCTAAATACCAACCAGGCATGGTTTCAACCGTGGTTTCCAAGGTGCCAAATGGATGTCATCCATCAAGCCCGCAAATGATTCGGCCCCCCTATAAATTCCAACCAACAATGGTTCCCTTTTTTTTCAAGTGGCGCGAATTGGATTTCGGCTACCCGCAGCATGTTTCACCTTACCAAGATGTTCCCGATTTGTTTGTCCAAGTGGTGCCAAATGGATTTGGCACCATCCACGGTATGTTCCACCTCCTTTCCAAGCTGTTCACGAGACGATTCCTCGAGGACGGTGCTGGCGTGAAGCATTTCGAGGGCTATGCTCGCATCGTGGATCCCCACACCGTGGAGGCTGGGAGTCAGTGCATGTTTTCAGGGATCCATACACCAAACAAAGGATCTCAGCTGGATCCTCCTAATTTAAGATCATTAGCACCACCTCAGACCCCACACCACGAAAATCTAATGGACACTTCCCCATTCTTTTTTGCAGGGATCCATCCTTTCAGAAAGCCATCAAAAACCCAGGGGAAACAGCCGGTTTTTGAAAAAACGATGGTTAAAAAGAATGGAATTGGAATCAACCCCTAGAGTAAAGCCTTCCCAGGTCAACGGGGAGCGGCATACCGCCAAGTACATCTGCGTGGCCACGGGCGGCCGGGCCACTCGGCTGCCCATCCCCGGCAAAAACCTACCGGGCGCCGGGCCCTCAGAAAATCCACGGATTCGGAGAGCCGGCGGGGGTGGGTTTAGCGGGAAACCAAGGGGCTTTTACCTGTTGACCCTAGAAAACATGTGGGGAAGCGAACAAGAATTGTGGGAGAAAAAGAGAATACCCTTAACATCCCTTAACTATCACTTGTTTGATTTGTTGGGACTTTCACTCTTGGGGCTTGGATCATTTTAGTGACGCTCAGGCAGTTTGGATATCGTTTTTTTCTCGCCCATGCAGTTAGCAAGTGAGTTCAAAAAAAAGGCAAAGGGATTCCGCAGGCCTATATTCCTCCTGTTTGGTGGTTGTAAACATTGCCCTTTCGGCCTGCTTGGTTTTTTTCCTTGGGATCGGGGTGCTTACAAATGCTCATCCTACGTTCCCTCCAAAAGTGAGCCCCCCCTTCAGTGCGCTACACTCCCCCTCCCCAACTTTTGTCAGCCGGGGTCAAAATCAGCCAGCGCCTAAGAATTGAATTGGGCGTAGGGGAAGAACCTGACGCCACAATCAGATGATTTGGAAAACACCTTTTGAGGGAGGGTTTTGGCTTTTTCAGGGGACTTTGCCCAGAGCATATCTCTGGGGTGGTTTGGTGCATGGGAGGGTGGGGTTCCGGCTGTTGGGGAGACCACCTGGGCTTATTCTTATTCTTTGGGGGGCGTCCTTTTTGAGTAGATTTGGGCAAAACAACAACAAGCTCACCTGGAAGATGTAATGCTTTGCCATGCGCATTGTTTACGTCATGGGGCCTGGGGGGAGAGAGGGAGGGAGGGGAGCGGGGAGAGAGCGCACATCAGCTCTCACCAGGCCCTTAGTCCGGCCTTAAATTGGGCTCCCTCCCCCACAGACCCCATCATTGCAGTTGGGTGAAAGTCGATTGCACAACTCTTTCCGGCTTAGTTGAGTCATCCGAGACTGGCTGTGTGTCTGGCCGGGGGGGGGGGGGGGGGCTGGAGGCCGCGTCGGGTTCGCTGCCAACTCCTGCGCCATCGCCAGCGCCGAGGTGTTGACCAGCGACGAGGCGCTGGCCCTGCCCAAGAGGCGGGCTGGCGCCGCCCATCGATCCCCTAAGCTCGCTGGCTCGTACTTGCTGAGGTCATGGACTTTACACTTGGGTTTGGGCCATGTTGGTGGCAACTCCCCACTCCGGAAGTGAGGTTTGGGAGCTACCAGACCTCCAAAAGTTGCGCCCCCCAATTTGCACAAATTTGTCTTGACAGGGGTTCAGTTGAGATTTCAGCACCCAGCTTTCCACGTTTTCATGGCCACTGGTCTGGGACCTGACAAACGTGGCAGGCCAGACAAGCTGGTGATCATTGGCGGCGGCTACATTGCTGGCAGCTCAGTTCGGCGGACTCCACCTTCTAATTGGTCTTTTGTTGCGTTCTCTCGATCCTTCGCTGTTCTTGGCATGTTTTTTGTTGATTTGTTGTTGGGTTCTCTTCATTTTTAGTGGCTGGCTGCAAAAATGTGGGTTTTGTTTGGCTCTGTTTGGCCCACAGCACTGGGCAGGGTACTTCAGCACGGCCAATTTGACATTCGCGTGTCCAAGAAACAGCGGGACGCCCAGAACGGAAACCAAAAAAGGCACCCTTTCCTCAAACACGCATCCCTCCACTTTCTACGGCAGGTTCTTTTCGCCGTTTTGACCAGGAGAGGGGTTGAGCCATAAGGGTCGCCAGTTGTGGGCGTGGGCCCCTCTTTTGTTGGGCCCGCGGGAAACAGCACTCCATTTGGTTGTGGGTCAAAACCAATGGGATCCCATTTTTTGGGCTAGGTGAATTCACCACCCATGTTAGAACTTATTTTAGTCGGGATGGGGATGTTCACTGGTAGCCAGGCTTCTGACCCATGGCCATTTGGCTATGGGTCAAGAATATGGCAACCCCAAAATGGCTTGCCCGATCGGTAAGTGGACACATGGGCCAAAACCTGCGGTCCCATTCCTGGTATTCATTTTGAGCCATGACCATTCGACGGACCATGGCCATTTGGAACTCACGCATTTTAGAGCCTATTTTAGTGGGGGGTACTGAGATGGGATGTTCACCGGGGCCTGGATTTGGGTTTTGAGCCATGGCCATACGACGGATTCGCCGGCAGGCGGTGGAGTTTGCGGGCTACTTCCACGGCCCCCCGGCGCCAAGTGGCCATGCGATGCGGCCATGCGCTGTCTTGATTTGATTTTTTTTTTTGGGGGGGGTTAAGGAAGTGAAGTTGTTTTTCTCTTTGTTTTTTTTTTTGTTTTTTTTTTGGGGGGGGGGTCAAGGAAGTGAAGGTTTTTGGTTTTGCCCTTTTTTCTGGTGGATTTTGACACACATGCAACAAGTGTGTTTCTTTTGTTTTTGCAATATGCGTGCTGCATGGCATCTGTTTTGCCCGCTTTTCCCGCACGGAGGCCAGGGTTCGGGGTTTCCACACCCTCAACTTAGCGTGAAAGAAGCAGAACGGCCCTTAAGAGGTCCAACTTCTTGGAGATCCAGACATAAAAAGTCCCATTCCCGCGCAGTGGGTTTCAAAGCGGGGGCGAAGCTGCGAGCTGGAGCTCTCGCTTTTTTCGGTTGCCCGGAGGTGGGAAGAATTGTCAGGGCTTTCCCTTAAAAGCAGGGATCCGAGCTGTGCCATTGGGGTGCCTTTCTTTCGGAAGATTTTTGGGGGAGGAAACAATGGGAAGCCACATGAAAAAACCCCACCCACCTCCCACCCCCCTCCCCCCCCCCCCTCCCCCCCCTCCCCCCCCCCCCCCCCCCCACAATTTTGACTCACGCCCAGACTTCCCAAACCCCCAGCTTGAACCCGAAAAGAGCTGGGCCGACGCGGCGCTTCTCGGCCGTGAGAACTGTCGCCGCAGGCTACGGGACGGAAGTGCACCTGGTCTTCCGCCAGGCCGGTGTGAAGCAAGCAAGCCCCCACTGGCCGTCATATGGACCGCAGGTAGTCTTTGATTCCACTTACCGGTCGGGCAAGCCATTTTGGGGTTGCCACATTTCTGACCCACAGCCACTTTTTGGTTCAACAAGTTGAGTTGGGCGAGCCAACCTCAGAAGTCTGAAAGGAATGTCTACCGCAAGGAGTTGCCTCCTTGGGAAGGGCTCCGGGGCTCCGAGCTGCGTTGTGCTTTGGCATGTGAAACCCGGAAACGAGGTCTTGCGCTAAAGACGGGACACGTTTCTTTCACGCTTCCATGGGCATCTGGGGAGTACGATCCTGGCGGACCATTTGGGTGTCTGAGGACAAGCCACTGCGAGGATTCGATGAGGCGGGTGTCGTGAAGCTGACGGAGTGTGAAGCTTGTGGATTGGAGGGTGCTCTTACTCCACCAGGCTGGGTCGTTTCATAGGGAACTGGCTGGGAAACCCCATAGCGTCGCTTCATTGAGGCAGTTCCAACATTCAATGGGCGTCTCTTCGTATCAGCGAGTTTCTGGGAAGACTCGGTTTTGCCAAGCACTTCGCATTCCTGCCTGATTCATGTCGAAATACAACATTGTTTTGGGCTCAAGAGCCAATCACGTGATCTTATAGCGAATCGTAGCGATCTTACCACTACTCTCATAGAGCGATTGAACCTCCGCTCTGATGGCGCCCACAGACCAGATGCAGATCGTTGTGGCAAGCACTTGCTACTGCTTTGCCTCTGTGGGGATGTTGCTCTTCAACAAGTTCGCAGTCCAAGACTTTCCGCTGGAGTGCTGCTTGGTGTGGATGCAGCTGTTCTTTGCAGCAAGCTTCTTGCTTCTCTTCGCCTTCCCGTATATCCGTTTTGGATCAGTGCACGACGTGCTGCGGTGGTGCATGGTGGTGCCATTCTACTGCGGGATGCTGCTGACTTCAATCTTGGCCTTGAAGACCGCACCCATGTCTCTGGTCATCGTCCTTCGCAACACTTCGCCCTTGGGGACCCTGGTCATCGAGCGCTTCTACCCAGAGCCCCTGAGGATTAGTGCCTTCATGCTTGGCTCCATCTTTCTGATGATGGCGGGCGGGGTGATGTACGTCTCGCAACTTCCTACGGAGAACTGGCAGGGCATTGGCTGGGTCTTCCTAAACAGTGCCATTGCTGTCGCAGATCGGCTTGTTCAGCGCCTGCTGCTTGCTCAGGATCTGTGCCCGGTGGATATTTCCAAAGTGGGCATCACGCTCATCAACAATCTGGTGGGCATGGTGCCTGTTGGGATCGCGGCATACATGAAGGGGGAGGTGTCTCGCTTGCCCGGAGTGTATGCCATGCTGACCGGCTGGGACAAGTTCTACATCGGGATGACCTGTGTCATTGGCCTGACCATCAGCTACACGAGCATTTGGGCTCAAAGCCTCATCAGCGCAACCAGCTTCTTGGTCATGATCAATGCCAACAAGTTCCTCATCATTGGCATCGAAGCTTTCGGCATGCATTCCAAAGCTCTCAACCACATCCAGGTGTTTGGTGCCAGTCTGACGATCTTGGGCGGCATCCTCTACGGGAAGTCGCGCCAAGCAATTGAGCACGAGGCGGAAGAACGCAAGGCCTTGCTTCCTTCTAAGTAGCTGGCTGCATGTCAAGGAGGTGAGGCCAGATGGCAACAGAAGCCGGATTGCTTTGCTTGGAAAATGGCCGGCTGCACTGATGGTACAGCCAACAGAGGTCACACATGCTCACGCCCACATGTGTGCAGCTAATGTCGAGTTCGGATTCACTTTTGTAAATCGATCAGGCGGTTCCAACTTTCAGTGGGCTTTTGTTCGAATCGACGGGTTTCTGGGAAGACTCAGTTGCGCCAAGCACTTCGCAGTTCTGCCCGAGTCATGTTGCATCATGTCGCTGCACCAAGTGAACGACATTTGTTTGGGCTCAAGAGCCAATCACGTGATCTTATAGCGAACCGTAGATCTTACCACTACTCTCATAGAGCGATTGAACCTCCGCTCTGATGGCGCCCACAGACCAGATGCAGATCGTTGTGGCAAGCACTTGCTACTGCTTTGCCTCTGTGGGGATGTTGCTCTTCAACAAGTTCGCAGTCCAAGACTTTCCGCTGGAGTGCTGCTTGGTGTGGATGCAGCTGTTCTTTGCAGCAAGCTTCTTGCTTCTCTTCGCCTTCCCGTATATCCGTTTTGGATCAGTGCACGACGTGCTGCGGTGGTGCATGGTGGTGCCATTCTACTGCGGGATGCTGCTGACTTCAATCTTGGCCTTGAAGACCGCACCCATGTCTCTGGTCATCGTCCTTCGTAACACTTCGCCCTTGGGGACCCTGGTCATCGAGCGCTTCTACCCAGAGCCCCTGAGGATTAGTGCCCTAATGCTTGGCTCCATCTTTCTGATGATGGCGGGCGGGGTGATGTACGTCTCGCAACTTCCCACGGAGAACTGGCAGGGCATTGGCTGGGTCTTCCTAAACAGTGCCATTGCTGTCGCAGATCGGCTTGTTCAGCGCCTGCTGCTTGCTCAGGATCTGTGCCCGGTGGATATTTCCAAAGTGGGCATCACGCTCATCAACAATCTGGTGGGCATGGTGCCTGTTGGGATCGCGGCATACATGAAGGGGGAGGTGTCTCGCTTGCCCGGAGTGTATGCCATGCTGACCGGCTGGGACAAGTTCTACATCGGGATGACCTGTGTCATTGGCCTGACCATCAGCTACACGAGCATTTGGGCTCAAAGCCTCATCAGCGCAACCAGCTTCTTGGTCATGATCAATGCCAACAAGTTCCTCATCATTGGCATCGAAGCTTTCGGCATGCATTCCAAAGCTCTCAACCACATCCAGGTGTTTGGTGCCAGTCTGACGATCTTGGGCGGCATCCTCTACGGGAAGTCGCGCCAAGCAATTGAGCACGAGGCGGAAGAACGCAAGGCCTTGCTTCCTTCTAAGTAGCTGGCTGCATGTCAAGGAGGTGAGGCCAGATGGCAACAGAAGCCGGATTGCTTTGCTTGGAAAATGGCCGGCTGCACTGATGGTACAGCCAACAGAGGTCACACATGCTCACGCCCACATGTGTGCAGCTAATGTCGAGTTCGGATTCACTTTTGTAAATCGATCAGGCGGTTCCAACTTTCAGTGGGCTTTTGTTCGAATCGACGGGTTTCTGGGAAGACTCAGTTGCGCCAAGCACTTCGCAGTTCTGCCCGAGTCATGTTGCATCATGTCGCTGCACCAAGTGAACGACATTTGTTTGGGCTCAAGAGCCAATCACGTGATCTTATAGCGAACCGTAGATCTTACCACTACTCTCATAGAGCGATTGAACCTCCGCTCTGATGGCGCCCACAGACCAGATGCAGATCGTTGTGGCAAGCACTTGCTACTGCTTTGCCTCTGTGGGGATGTTGCTCTTCAACAAGTTCGCAGTCCAAGACTTTCCGCTGGAGTGCTGCTTGGTGTGGATGCAGCTGTTCTTTGCAGCAAGCTTCTTGCTTCTCTTCGCCTTCCCGTATATCCGTTTTGGATCAGTGCACGACGTGCTGCGGTGGTGCATGGTGGTGCCATTCTACTGCGGGATGCTGCTGACTTCAATCTTGGCCTTGAAGACCGCACCCATGTCTCTGGTCATCGTCCTTCGCAACACTTCGCCCTTGGGGACCCTGGTCATCGAGCGCTTCTACCCAGAGCCCCTGAGGATTAGTGCCCTAATGCTTGGCTCCATCTTTCTGATGATGGCGGGCGGGGTGATGTACGTCTCGCAACTTCCCACGGAGAACTGGCAGGGCATTGGCTGGGTCTTCCTAAACAGTGCCATTGCTGTCGCAGATCGGCTTGTTCAGCGCCTGCTGCTTGCTCAGGATCTGTGCCCGGTGGATATTTCCAAAGTGGGCATCACGCTCATCAACAATCTGGTGGGCATGGTGCCTGTTGGGATCGCGGCATACATGAAGGGGGAGGTGTCTCGCTTGCCCGGAGTGTATGCCATGCTGACCGGCTGGGACAAGTTCTACATCGGGATGACCTGTGTCATTGGCCTGACCATCAGCTACACGAGCATTTGGGCACAAAGCCTCATTAGCGCAACCAGCTTCTTGGTCATGATCAATGCCAACAAGTTCCTCATCATTGGCATCGAAGCTTTCGGCATGCATTCCAAAGCTCTCAACCACATCCAGGTGTTTGGTGCCAGTCTGACGATCTTGGGCGGCATCCTCTACGGGAAGTCGCGCCAAGCAATTGAGCACGAGGCGGAAGAACGCAAGGCCTTGCTTCCTTCCAAGTAGCCGGCTGCATGTCAGAGGTGAGGCCAGATGGCAGACACCGAACTGCAAAAGTCGACGGAAGCCGGATTGCTTTGCTTGGAAAATGGCCGGCTGCACTGGTGGTACAGCCCTGGAGCTCACGGCCACAGGTGCATGACGAAGCTTCCCCAAATAGGGGCCCCTACGGTGGATGTCCGAAATATAGTTGCAAGTCGCCCAACATCTCTCAATCACAAAACCATGGCAAACTACGGTACACGAGGGGGAGCTCCTTGTTCTCCCACCTGCATCACCACCCTCCCCAAGCCGAGTCGCAGGGCGGAACCCAAAGTCTTTCCAGGACATCAGGGAGCACCTGATGGAGATGCTGAAAGCCAAGGGCATCCATGTGCACGCAGGCTGGGGGCAAACCTCTCCCGCTCAGCCCCGGGAACTGGAAAAAGTTGGATTTGCGGCTCCGGAACTGGAGGCATGGAGAAGTTCTCCACGTCCATTGGCTGACTATTCGTCATGGTCCTTTGTTGGTAAAGGGGGTCTATCACTGGACCTATCTTCATTTTTCTTCGGGCTAAAGTCTGAAGCCAAGGGAGGTCCGCCAAACCACCCACTCGGCTCCCAGCCACCAGTTGGAGGGCGCTCCGCTGCCGGAAGGGACTCGGAGCTGGGGGAAGAGAGCTACTCGCATGTGGCACGGTCTGAGCTAACCGAATGAGTCAGCGATGCAACCGTGTGAGTATTCCTAGGTCCCCCAGCTGGGTGCCCTTTTACTGTACCCGGTTTTTGTTTTTTTGGGGGGGACTACAACAGACTACAGAAAAAAAAGTACCCTTATTCAAACCTCTCTGCTGGAGGACCTAGATTCCTTCGACCCAACCACACTGAGACTTACATTGCACTCATCCAAGCACTTTCGAAACAGTACTGTGGATGGACGGTGGAAGGATGATTCCTCTGCAAATACCTACAATGAAATGGCTTCCGGCGGTTTCCATTGGTGCGAAATGGTTTTCGTCGAATGGTGGTTTTTCCCACTATTTCTAGCATAGCAGTGGATGGTTGCGAAATCCACGTCGCACCACGAAAGGACACCATGGTTGACACCACATCGTTTCTTGGCACTTGCGTTGGGGATCCGTTGGGTGTTTGAGTTCGGCGCCTTGCAAACCCAACGGATGTCGCGTCCATCCACCGTATGTCTCCCTGCGCAACGGGGCGAACGGGGGCTTGGGCCAAGTTGGGTCCGCTAGCCCCAACTCTTCAGGCGAGAGCCCCTATTCCATCGAGGCGCTTGAGCTCGGGGGCTTCTGGCTGGCTTGGAACCTGGTAGCCATGGGGAAGCTGGAGCCCAAACACATCCAAAAACACCTCGAGGTCTTTTCTTGCTGGGTGGGAAAGCTGGTATCTAACATGTGCCGTGAGGCAGCTAAAGAGCAGGGGGAGGGAAGGAGTTGCTTCCGGAAGAGGGGAGCTAAGAAGATTCTAGGATGGACACTGGGGAACTCGTGGCTCCCTGAACGCTTGGAATGTTAGCGCAAACTATTTTTTGGTGCAGCCCCCAACTAAAACTGAACAGAACCAAAGAAGCCAAAAACATGCCAACCACAGCTCCCCGGTTTCCACAAACATGGACTTTTGTTTCTTTGGTTCTCTTCGGGAAAGATAAGCTGCGTCATGTTTAGAGTATTGTTTCTGTGGGGTATTCACCCCCCCCCCCCCGCCCTCCCTCCCGCTTTGTGTGTTTCATGTTGATTTGCGGAGTAGGGGGGCCTTGGGTCAGGCAAGTTCTGCTGTTTTGGTTTCACGGGTCCTTTGCGTCAAACACGAAGCCTGAGATTGCACCAAGGGGAACAGCGCCTTAGCTGGTTAAGTGGTTTCCTCAGCCCAGCTCTTCCAGTTTCCGGGCTGTAGGTTGCCAGGGTATTTTACCTGTAGGTCTTGCATGATTGTGTCCCTCATGTCCAACAGTTATCACTCAAAGCGCTAGGTAGGGCAGCGGGTTTGGGGATGAACTTGCGAACCCCTGCATAATCTATAAGGGTCATTCCCTCATTTCCTGCTGGATGATAACACACAAAATGAAAATCAACAAAAATGCCATGTGATTTGTTGGGATCCAGATCTTCCCATAAAACATGTTTTCCATCAAAAACAACCCTCTGTTCACGTACCCCCTAATAGGTGGTCTGGATTGGCGGTTTGAGATTTGAACCCCTGATTCTTGGGGAGGGTAAATGGGAACTGCTCCAGAATACCACCAAACCATCGATTCGGCTCCAAACCACATGTTTGAGGCAAGCTGATCCGTCCTTCGCATTTAAAAAAAAACGTGTTTCCCCCAAAAACCCTCTGTCAACTGGAGTCGCTTCTGTGGGGTTCTCTGAGTTGCCATTGCCATCGCTCCGCTCCCCGCGGTTTTTGGCTCAGCGACGCCCGGCCGAGCCCCGGGCTCCGGGGGCGCAGCCCGAGACGACGGCGATGCCGGACGCCGCGCAGCTGCCCTCGCCACTCGGGTGCGATGAATCTGGGCGCGTCTTTTCAGGGGTTTTATTATTTGAACGGTTTCTGGGGGTGATCAAATTCAGAACATGGGGTTGTTTCCCTCTTATACCGTTATACCCTTTCCTTTTTTGGGGGTGACTTTGATCCTGGTAAGAGAATGCGGCCAGCTTTTGGTATGCTAGCCCCTTTGTTCTAGGGGACACTTCCAACCATTCTTTCCAGTCATCCTCCTTTCTAAAAGAAACACCCAAACACCTGGGAAACAGCTGCATTTTGAAAAGAACGATGGTTGAAACGAATGGGGAATCAGTTCCTAATTTCTGGGTGTTTTTTGTTTTGAGGGAAACCTACAGGACTGCTATCATTAATTCAGGGTTCCCCGGAAAAAAAAAAGAAGAGACGCACCCATAGATGTTGTGTTTCATGGTCCTTTTTTTCTGGGCCACAATCAAAATCCGGGGAGATAGAAATTAGTAAGGGATAATTCCGGGACAATCATCCCATGAGTGGGTGCCTTTGTCGCTTGGGAAGTCTTCCTGGTAGACCCCGCAGGATATGATTCCAGGTACCTCGTTATTTGGGAGATGTGGAGCTGATTTGGGGGGTTGAGCCCTGCTTGTTGGGAATGTAGATGAGAAACAACCCGGGAACCGATTTGGATAGCCTTAGCTCCGTAGAACTTGTGTGTTCGGTTGGGGGTAGCCACAAATCTTGGGTTGCCGCAGATCTAAGTAGCCTCCAGAGTCGTTGGATCATGCTTTACGGTTTTGATTGTTTGGTTTTATTATACTCTAGTCATTTTTTTGGGAGGGGGGTGCACAAGAACGAGTCTTTCTAGCTACTACACCGTTTGGGTTGAACAGTAAGGGCTCCCTTCCAGCTCCCAGCGCATCCATTCATCCGTTTTAGGAAGCCAAGGGCTGGCCACCCGATCTAAAACCACAAGGACAAGAATGCAAAGGCTTACCTGCTACAAGGCTGTGTGGTGTTGTCGGATTCGGATCCCCCCAAACGTGGCTTCATGGTTTTCCTTTGGGCTTCCCTTCAAAACCAACCCAAAGATGGGGGGTTACGGTAACCAACCCACTCCAAGAAAGACGCCCTTCACTCACTTCCGGAGTTGGAGTTTCGGGTTTGGACCGTTTCAGCGGCCAAGAAGTTGGTGCAAAGGTGTGGGCCAATCCTCTTGGGGCCAATCCACTCCATTGGAAGTGGGTACGGACGACTGGCTCCGACCGACCGCGCGCAGACCGCGCGCGAGGCGCCTCATCAAGGCCGCCTCGCCCGACCTGGCGAAGCCACGGGCCGCGGCCTCGGCGCTGGGCGGGTGGGGCATGGGTGGGCTGGAAGCGGAGCACGGCCGCGCCCGGCTCTGTTTTCCTTCTTTTTCTCTTGTTTATTTTCTCTATTTGGGTGTGTCAAGTTTTTATTTTTTTGTTTTGGGGGGGATAAAGGGGGAGGGGGAGGCCCCAAAAAGGTGGGGGTTCCCTTTTAGGTGTCCCTTTTTGAGGCCAAATACCCTTGAAAAGAGACACACCCATTGGTGGCCCTGCAGGTCCTTTAGGAGCAAAAGGCCCCCATGGGTGAAGTAGATGAGTAGATGACAGCCCCCCCAGGGCCCCCCCAAAAAGCCCGGCGAAGTCCTCCTTGACGGCCTCATTTCGGCTCCCTCCCTCCTCTCCCCCCCTCCCCCCCCCAAAAAAACAACAACAACAATCGGCGAAGCCCTTCCCCCCGCAGCGTTTCGAACCGCCGCTCGCGGGCGCCTCGAGGCGACGGCCATCTCGTACCACTACGCCACCCGGGAGAGCCGCGTGAGCCGAGGCAGCGTGGACCACTCCAGCCCTTTGGTCTGCACTCCTGGGGCGGATGCCGTCAAACCCAAACTCCGCGCGCGAGGTTCGTTGCGCACCTAAGCAGCCATGGGCTAAAAACAAGCAGGACTTACAGAGGGGATTGTATGGATGAAACCAGAACATTGGTTGGTGTTTACGGTGGGGATCCAAGCATTACGTTGGGCTTCTGAAGGTGCCTGAGAGGATTTCATTCATCAACAATATATTATAGGTTTTTGGTGGATGGCTGATTGGGGGCGAGGGTCTCAACGTGGGCCTCAACGGTGGCTTTCTGAATTGCTTTCCCAACTCACTTCCCAAGTTCCGTTTAGGCCTTGAGTCACTTTTTGGGCTACCATTTTGGAAGTTTGATCACAGTTTGTGTTAGACAGCCCCACTCACAAAGCCATGAATTAAGTGGGGACCCTTCTGAATCACAGGGGAGGGGTTTCAAAAATCCGGGGTCGCTCACTTCCTGCGTTCATGCACTTCAAGCTTTTCGGAAATACCACTCCAGCGGTACATTTTCTCAAAAAAAGTGTGGTTACTCTTGGCCAACCGGAAGTGAGGAGTCAGCCTCACTGGGCTTAAGCAGCGCCCGGCTTAAGCCCAGCGCCCCACGGGAGCCCGCGACTCGACCCGAGACTCGGAGACCCGAGGCGCGGGCGGAAGCCGCAGCCCGCGGGCGCGGAGCCGTGAGCTCTGCCCGCTGCTGCACCACGCCCTGCTGAAGGAAACGCCGCGCCCGCGTCCGCGTCCAGCCGCCCGCGTCCGCTTCCAGCCGCTTCCGCCGCGCGCCGCATGCTTTTGCCGCTTAAGCCGCGTGGGGGCGCGTTTTTGCCGCACGCCGCAAGGGTGAAAAAAGCCCCGCAAGTGGGAAGAGAAGATGTTTGTTCATTTTTGTTTTCCTGATAGAGGGCTGGTTTGGAGGTTTGGAGGTGAACCAACAGCCCATTTGAGATAGCAAGAGGAACTTGGGTTCAAATGCCCAAGTGCTTTACGTGTTAGCGGGAGGCCCAGAGCCCCAGTGGGTTGCTTCCTGATTCCTCTTGGGGTGTTTGCTTGTTGTTTTGCTTGTTGTGTTTGTTTGTTTGTTTGTTTGTTTGTTTGTTTGTTTGTTTGTTTGTTTATGCGATTGTTTTCTTTCTTTCCGTCCTTCCTTCTTTCCATTTTTCCTTCTTTCCTTCTTTCCTTCTTTCCTTCTTTGCTTGCTTTGTTTAACGTTTTTATCGTTTTTGTTTTTTTTGTTGTTGGTTGCTTGCTTGCTTGTCTTCTTGCTGCTTGTTTGCGTGTTTTCATCTGTGCTTTTGTGCGTGTGTTTGTGTGTCTGCACCTGGTTGTTTGTTTGTCTGTCCGTGTCTGTGTGTGTGTGCTTATTCTCAGTCAACTACGAAACAACTTCCATGACATTGTTTATTTTCCCTTGTCAGCTAAGGGAATCTATCACTGGACATGTTTCCTTTGTCCAGACAAAAAGCAAATGGAGGAAAGGGGGTGCCGCTTGTTTGGCCACGGGAACTGCCTAGGGTGATGGTTGATGTCCACCCGTCGGTTCTGCTGCAAGAGGCGATTGTTCAGTTGGACCACCTAGCATGTAGTCCATAGGGTTTGAGTGCCACGTTCTGTCATTCCCGGAAAGGATCCTTGGACAAGAAGGCAAAGTCGGTCAGTCCAGAACGTAGGGTTTTGCAGAGCCACGTTTCTGCGATTCCAAGGGAACTCCATGGAAGAAACATGCAAAACGCCGCAGGTATCTGAGGACTTGACCTGCGGGCTCCGCGCAGGTTCTTCAACTTTCATTTGGTGGGTAATGTTGTCCCCGGATTAATAAACCCCTGCTTATGAATATGGGGGTGTTCCCCTCCAAAAGTCATGATTCCAACTAAAACCACGAACACCCCCAAACTGCGGGCGGTTTCGGCGCAGGAGATGCGAAGCATTTGCAAGCATCTGCGCCTCGACATCAAGGCAAGGTGACGTTTTGCTCCGATCGCTTGCACGGACAATCCTGTGTGCTTTTCTGTATGGCCATTGGGTAACGGTTGTTAGACTTTTCACGTTTGGGTTGAAATCAAGTTGGCCTTCTGTATCAAACCCACAAAGGGCTAAACTTTTTGCAGAGGGGTCAACAGCAACCAAGCTCCCAAGAACGGACGGAACCCTGCAACCGGTCCCCTTAAGAAAATGGTCTCCCAGGAACCCAGGAACCGGGACCAATTTGTTGTTTGCAAATCTCTCATGGCAAACTCGCTTGCGGGAAAGAGTTCGGCGATCTCTGCTGCTTTGTCTTTCCAGGTTTTGAGGGAACTCGCTCAGTCCCACGATCTTCGCGATTTACCTTCGTAATTTAAGTGACCACCCAACAAAAAGCCAACGACTTGAAAGTCGAAGGCAAGGAGATAGTGTGGGTGAACCAGATCCTGCACCACCTAGGAAATCCTGGAATGCGATTCGCCTGTAATTTCCAGCAAGCGATGGTTTCAACCATGCTCTCTAAGTGGTGCGAAATGGGTTTCGCGCAACCGTTTGCAGTAGGATGCTCAAGGTTCCCTTTGCCGACAAACACAAAACCTCCTCAAATTGTCCGAAAAGATGTTGAGGCCACCAAACGGTGGCCACCAGACGGTGAAATAGAAGGAAGCCAATAGACTGCAGATTGCCTTGTTTGCCCTAAGCATGCATCTCTTCGTTTCAAGCAAGAGGACCTCGAAATCAAAAGGTGATCATTTGTTGGAGCCGAAAAAGTAAACATCGTAACAATATATGGTCGAAATCAGCAAACCAACACTTCGGCACTAAGCAAAAAATGGTTTCCAGAGGATCCAACGCCTCCGCAAGCCCCTCCCCTCACTTCACATGGGAGGGCAGGGGATATACGATGGGGATGGGTAAGGCTAGATCGGTCCGACTGCAAAAGCAGTGCGTCACGGCCCACCGCTTACTTTTGGGCTTGTGACTTCCGGCCAGGACGACGTCCGCCAGCTGCTGCAGCAGAAGCAGGAGGTGCGAAGTGAGGCGGGGGGTCTTCCAAAGGTGTCTCGGCCTGGGGTCACACCAAAGACCATTCTAAGGGTAGCTTCCCCATTCTTTGCAGAGATCCTTCTTTCCAAACCTAAAAGCCTGAGGGAAACGGCTGGTTTTGAAAAGAACGATGGCTGAAAAGAATGGGGAATCAACCCCTAGAACCATGGGAAATAGAACCGCCCTCTTCCCAGTGGATGGTAGGTAACCAAGCGAACCAGCCTTCAAGAACCAAAAGGAGACGTGCTGGTTACCTGCTTGAGTGGTAACTGGGACCTACCGCGTTTTGTAAGCCTTGCTCCTGGGGAGCTTTGAGGAACGCCTGCAAGGCTAAAACATTGAACAACCTCCTTCATACTGATATGGAAGCCGTTCGAATTAATTGCATCAAATGTAACATGTATTGTCTCGGTAGTTACACGGCGCAAATTCCTTTGCTTGGAGGACTATATTTAATTTGCCGTCCACTTTCACTCAACTGTAGTGAAAGGGAGGGTACTTCAAGGGCCTCAATAGTTAGAACAAGGTTCTATTATCTCAAAATAATAGGGAGCATACTGTTGGACCGGCCTTAACGTGACTTCCCAGACCAGTGCCAACAGTCATTTCGAGCCTCTTCAGTGGCAAATTGTCGAAATCGTTTGTCGCCCCGAATTTTCTCTCGTGAATAAATCTCAAACAACCCTTGATTTGTGGATTTGGGATTTGAACCCCTGGTTCTTGTAGGTAGAGGTTAAATGGGACACCCCTCCTTAACCACCAAACCACAAATCGAAACCACCAATTAGAAGGAAGCTGATAAAACTCTCTATCCCGGAATCCTGGAAAAGACAAACTTTCTGCTTGATCAACCCAGGACCCACTCTTTATCATTTTCATCTGCAGGGCTCACTGGCAACGAAGACGCCAGTGATGCATCCAGTGCGTCACGCTCCACCGTGTGCCTATGATTCAAAGTCCTTTTGGGCCTTTGTTTCTCTTGTTGTGTGTGCTTCGTGTTCCGGCTTCGTGTTCGGTCCCTAGCCCCCCCCCCCCCCCCAAAAAAAAAGAAAGAGAAGAAAGCAAAACTTTGTGCTATGTCACTCGAAGGTCATACTCGAACGGATCACTCGAACACCCAACTCGATTAGTCAGCGTCCTCCCTTGGGAGTTTAAGCGCGCGTCGCCTCCCCAGCTTTTGAACTTCATTTTAGAGGGAACCGTTTGAACGTTTGCTGACTCACTCGGAAAGTGCGAACCATGTAGCCCCTTCTCCAATTATTTCTCATCGGTTTGGAGCAGTTTTCAGGCAACTCTTGACTGGTTGTTTGGATTGCTGGCTTAGATTTGGATTTGAACCCCTGGTCCTTGTAAAGGGTAAATGCGTTTCCACCCGAACAAAGTCCAAGCCGCCATCAAGGCAATTTCGCCCCAAAACCCCCGCCCGAAAATTGCGATCTTGTCAAAGATCGCTTCCGCTTACCAAACCACCCGTATACCTGGGTCTTCCGTGGGCACTTTTTTCTGGATTTTCCCGTTTCGAGCAAAAATAACGCTCATTTCATCCAACAACGCTCAATTCGAAAGAAAACGCTCAATTGGAAAGTGGTTCTGGTGCGTGTCCGCACATTTCCGCTCATTTCCCGCCGATTTCCGCTCATTTCCCGCCGATTTCCGCTCATTTTCCGGGAGACGACTTGCCAAATCATGCCAATTCAAGACTTCCGCTCATTTTTAGTTTTCCGCTCAAAATCTGAAACGATCCAAAAAAATGCCCAGAGCCCGAAAAAGTGACCAAATGGAAGACCCAGGTATGTACTTGGGATATGTAACCCATATACTGGCAACTATCCCATAGAAATCTCTGCCGGGTAGCTTCGGTTTGGGGCCCGGAAGCCATCCGAGTCCTTGACACAGGTGAAGGCGAAGGCCCGTGATGAAAGCTGGCCTCTCGACAGGCGCGTGACTCCGTGCCGCTGCAGCGAGTGCTTTCGTTTCAAAGGGGGCATTCAAAACGAGCATTCAAAGGCGCACTCTCCCGCAAATCAAGTAGAGGATACTCCTTTTGGGAAATGGAACCCCTTTTGAATTGCCATGTGAATCTGTAAATTGTTCACCCAAGAGTGGTCTGAATCCCCACTAAACGGGGACACCCCCCAATCCAAATCAAGCAGGGGTTTTTGAATCCGGGGTTAACATTGAGGTGTGGCCCTTTGTTTGGGGTGAATCGGGCTTGATGTTTTGTCTTTGTTGAAGGCCCGTTTTCGAGGCTGGTTAATTTGCTGGGAAAACATGGGCATTGTTTTTGGGTTTTCGCATTTCGACTCATACCCAGGTTGCCCGTGAGTTTTTTTTGTGTTCAACCGGCTTGTTGTTATGCCTGGTGGTGGGGCCTCGTAATATTTGAAAAGTTAAGCTTTCTTTGGACTAGTGCAGGCAGGCAGTTGGACTTGTGCGGGACCGGGCTTCTTGTTCCGTCTCCAGAATGCCCGCTCAACAAGTTCTTCCACCCATTTTGTATCCCATTCCCAGTTTGAGATAAGTTCCTGGAGTTCGCGTTTACCATCCAACAGGGATTTCAAGTTTGCCTTTACATGGCAGAACCGCGCATTTTTTTCTGCCTTGGCAAGCAACAGTTTCAAGGTTTTAGGCTGTTTCCAATTCTTGCATTTGCTTCAGATTTCCTTTATTTCCCCTGTGTTAAAGGGAATCTATCACTCCTTGAAACCTGCTATACTTTTCCATGGGACGGTCGAACAATCAAAGAGTGACGTTGTTTTCCAGGTTTTCCCTTCTTCCCGAGGTCGCGCCTGGGTGATTTTTGCCCATTCTCGCGCATGTCTTGTACAAATCTGTGTTGTGTGTTGCATTTGTTCCTCCCAATGTGTGTTTTGCACGTGTGGATGGGGTGTTTTTTGAGGTGGCCTGGGGTTTTTGTGGGTGGCTGGTGGGGTGTTCGATCCTTTTCGCCCACATTTTCCTGGGCTCCGAGCCCTACAAGGCCCACACTGCCCAACGCGGTGGATGGCGACCTCGAGGTCGAGGCGCGAATTTCAACTTCTCCATTCGAAGCCTCGCGGCTTCGCGGCCGCGAGTTTCGGCCCGAGCCGGCGTGAGGAGTCGGCGGAAGGGAGTCTTGAGGGAGGGAGGCAACAGCCATTCTTCCATTTGCTGAAATGAATGTTTGTTTGTTTTTCCCTGTTTGGTTTCAAGGAGTCAATTTCACTACTGGACATAGGTTCTTATTGTTTCCAGTGGACCCAGAAGCAAATGGAAGCATTTGTCAGGTATCTTCCTGTCCACCTTTTCGGTCTCGCTTTGTTTGCACCCCGGGGGGGAGGGGTGAACGGAAAACCCTGCTCGGATTTGCCTCGCTCTTGGGACGTGCTTTTTTTGAAAGAGGCGCTGAGCCCGAGTCTCATGTGATAAGTCTCATGTGTTAAGCCAACGTGCCTTGTGAACGCTGCCGGTTTCTTGTGAGTCCTATGCCCGTTGCATGGTAGAACTTGGTGCAAACCAAAAGGGGTGGAACTTTGACTGGATAAAGTGTAGAACCTTAATCTACCTATTATAGATTATTGCTTCATTGTAAGCTCACCAATTTGGGAGTAAAGCGGGTGAAACCCATGATGAAGCTTCTTTACGGTAGGTCCTGGAATCATTGTTGAATTTGCGGAATGATGCTTCATTCGTTCATTCATGCAGTGGATGCTGAACCCAAAAGCGAATGCATGAAGGTTTGTAACTACTAGAATCTACTAGATTTGTTGCTGTGTAGCTGTATTTTTTGTGGGGGAGGGGGTATTGGTTTGGGATGGTGGGTGCCCGATTTCTGTTCAAGTGACACCCAGGCGCCACAAATGGTAAATTGCGGCACAGCTCAGGAGTTGTTTTTCCCGAAAGCATTGCGAAGGGTTCTTCCGTGCGGAGCTCTTGGTCAACTTGCGCAGAGTAGCTTGCACAGAGTCACCAGCATGGAGATATCAGGAGCTCTTGGTCAACTTGCGCAGAGTAGCTTACACAGAGTCACCAGCATGGAGATACCAGCATGGAGGTACTCGCGCAGAGTTACTAGCACAGAGTAGCTTGCGCAGAGTTACCAGCATGGAGACACTTGCACAGAGTCACCAGCATGGAGATGTTAGCATGGAGATACTTGCACAGAGTCACCAGCATGGAGATACTTGCACAGAGTCACCAGCATAGGTGGTAGAGCCAAGTGCATAGAGCTAGGTGCATAGAGCTAGGTGTAGAGGCTCGGCGGTAGCAGCTGTGTAAGCTAGGTTAAGTAAGTTAGGTTAAGTACTTAACGCGCGGGAGAGAAAGAGAAAGAGCTCGGTATTAAGAATCTCTTTTAAGGCTGGGGGTGGGGATGTTGCCGACGATCGGGAATGCGACCCTGTGCGGGGATCAGTGTGGTCGAGGTGCAACAACTCGAGGTTTTTTGCGTTGTTTTTGCGGTGCCCGCGCGACCCTCTGCGGAGATCGGCGTGGTCGAGGTGCAAAAACTCGTGTTTTTGTTTCTCGTTTTTTGCGGTGCCCGCGCGACCCTCTGCGGGGATCGGCGTGATCGAGGTGTAAAAACTTCAGGTTTTTTGTGTTTTTTGAATGCCCGCGCAACCCTCTGCGGAGATCGGCGTGGTCGAGGTGCAACAACTCGAGGGCCCGCGCGACCCTCTGCGGGGATCAGTGTGGTCGAGGTGCAAAAGCTCGAGGTTTTTTGCGTTTTTTTGCGGTGCCCGCGCGACCCTCTGCGGAGATCGGCGTGGTCGAGGTGCAAAAACTCGTTTTTTGTTCTCGTTTTTTTGGCGGTGCCCGCGCGACCCTCTGCGGGGATCGTGCGTGTCGAAGCGCTCTCGCTGTGGCGCCGTGCGAATTCTTCTTAGTCTCGGCGAACCCTCTGCGGAGATCGTGCGTGTCGAAGTGCTCTCGCTGTGGCGCCGTGCGATTTTATTGCTCGCGAAGTGGCCTTTGGAAGTTGTCTCGTGGTTTGCGCGCCTGCTTCCGCAATCCCGCGGTCGCGGGTTCGATTCCCCCCTGGTCCACGGCAGCTCCGGCTTGAAAATCGCAGCTTTTAAGTACAAACGTAGTACGCGGAGCGTGCAGCTCCGGCTGGAAAATCTCAACTTTTAAGTGCAGACGTAGTATGCGGAGCGTGCTCGCAGCTCCGGCTGGAAAATCGCAACTTTTAAGTACAAACGTAGTACGCGGAGCACACTCCCGCAGCTCCGGCTGGAAAATCGCAGCTTTTAAGTACAAAAATTCGCGCGAAGTACATTCCCACAGCTCCGGCAGCACTTGCGCAGAGCAACTTGCGCAGAGTCACTTGCGCAGAGCAACTTAACTTGCACAGAGCACTTGCACAAAGCACTTGCGCAGAGCAACTTGCACAGACCAACTTGCACAGAGCACATGCGCAAAGCGCTTGCACGGAGCAACTGGCGCAGAGCACTTGCGCAGAGCAACTTGCTCAGAGCACTTGCGCGGAGCAACTTGCACAGAGCACTTGCGTGCAGCGCTTGCAGAGAGCAACTTGCGCGCAGCAGCCTGGAACAATGCAGCTTGCGCAGACCACTTTCGTGAGAAATCGCGCGGCGCAGTTCGTGCAAAGCACATTGCGCCGAGCAGGCTCGTGCAGAGCCAACTTGCACAGAGCCAGTTGCGCAGAGCCACTCGCGAAAAGTAGCTTGCGTAGACCCAACTTTTACAGAGCCAAGCTGCGCAGAGCCATCTTGCACACAGCTAAGTTGCGCGAGCGTGCTTTGCAGAAACTGTGGCCGTCGTGTAAGCTTTGCTATTGATTGCTTTTCCTTTTGCTTGTAATTCGTTTCGAGCTTTACGAGCTTTACTCTTCTTGTTTTAACGGATGTCCTCTAGTTTCTCCCTTCCTTGGGTGGCTCGGGGGTTTGAACCCCCGGGTCTTGGGGAAGGGTGGGGCATGTGTTGATCGCAGTGGTCACATGTCAGAACGCGGCAACAGTGGATTTCCTCTTGGCCTCATTTGCGCGATTTGTGTAGGGGGACCCGCAAGAAGTTGTGTTCCTCTTGGTTTCCCCTGCGGCCAACCTGAAAAGGGTTGGTGGGTTTGCTTAAAATAGAGGGCCCTGGATTAGATAGGGTCTATTCCATTTACCCATCTATTTTCCAAAACCACCTATGGTAAGAATACAGCCACACCTTCCCTTTCTCGGCTTCAGGACTTCAGGGTTTGGCCATCTTGCAGGCCCGAACCGGCCGCCCAAACCTCTGAAAGGGAACGAAGGGATTCGGGATCGGCAGGCAGACATGGGGGATCCATCCTTTTGCCCTGGACCAGTTGGTTGGAAACCCAGCTCCTCAGAAAAATATGCAAAAGGCGCCAAACGTCCAAACCACAAGATAAGGCATGGCTTGCGATCGGTGCAATAGGCAGGGAACGAGGGAATAACCTAGATCCTTTTGGGGGGCAAGGTTCCCTACTAAAATAGACTGCAGGAAAAAAGGGTACCCTCATTCTAACCTCTCTACTGGAGGACCCAACCCTTGTAAACCATTTGGGTTCCCTGCCGGTTCCCGGAGGACTTCCTGCCGCAGCCGGAGGTGCGCTCGAATGGCTTCGGAGAAAGCAACCCGGGCTTTTGGGTGTGGCGGGCCCTTCCCGCTGAAGTTTGGTTTAGCCTTCCAGGTCCCCCAGCCAGGTGGCCTACCAATTTTTTCGGGGGAGGGTTCGTTCCCCTACTGAAATAGACCACGGAAAAAAAAAGGGTAGCCCTAGTCTAACCTCTCCAGTGCGGGACCTAGCCTTTGTTCAACCGAGCCGTCAATGATGTCCCTTGTTGGGCCTCCAAGGGTGAGACTCCTTGCAGAAAACCGCAACTTCGGAAGGGGGAATGCCGTGACCCCTGTCAACGTTCTTTCCTTTCCCTTCTTCTCCTTCTTAGGAGGGGTTTTACCTTTTTCAACTTTCCTTTCTTCATTTTTTTCCTTGTGCGTTCCATCTACCAGCGACAAAGGGCTCCCTTTGTTCTGCATTCGCGGTCTCGAGTGACTCAAGCGGAGCGGTGCCTTTGTGGCCGCTCACAGGGTGCAAGCCCTCCCAACATGGTCTGAAGCCCTTCCACTTGGGTATGGGTCAAAATTAAGCCATTTGACCCACAGCCATTTTGGGTACATATTCTTGACCCACAGCCATTTGCTGAAATGAATATTGTGTTCTCCCTGTTGGTTTGAACGGGAGTCGATTTCACGAGTCGATTTCACGAGTCGATTTCACTACTGGACATATTTCCTGATTTTGTTGGTGTCTGGTGAATCCCAGCGGGCCACTCGCTGCCACAAGCAGCAAACCTAGGTGATAGCAGTCTTCCTTATAGCCTTCTTGTGCACTTGCGTTTTTTTTAATTGAAAAGAGGATAGGTCGTGCACAAACTGATTTTGTTTAAGTTGCAATAGACTTATTCTGATCGATTTCACAGGCCAATCATACAACCTCCGCAAGAATCCCAGTTGAACCCATTTGGGTCACCCAATTCAAATGAGGCCAAACTACCATGTCCAGAGCTCAGGGAGAGAGAGGGCTCCCTTGTTCAATGTTCGAATTTGTGTGGAAAAACCGCTCCCATCCGCTCCCGGTGTCCCTTCCAAGCTGCTGGCATGTGGATGGACTCGAAATCCGGTTTCTTAGGCACCACCGTTCAGACACCCAACGGAATGGTTCGAACCCCCTAACGCAGATGCCAACCAACGTTATAAATTCAACCATCTTCCACTTGCTGAAGCTAATATTTGTTATTTATTCTGTTGGTTTTAACGGCTGAAATTAATCCGTTTCCTTTCTATTTTTTGTGGGGGCTAAAAAAAGCAACGGATGTCGCGGTTTCATCTCCGTGGCTTCCTTTGGTGCGAGGCTCGCGGATGACTCCACCTGTCAGAGCTGCATTTTGCCAAGGGATGTTAGGGCTGTAACACTTCTTGCCAACCAATAAACACCTAGAAGTTAAAAACCAAAAAAAAACTTCTAGCCACGAAACGTTAAAAACAATAAAATAACACATGTTCTAGCCACGAAAAGGTAAAATATTCTAGCCACGAAAAGTTAAACACTTCTAGCCACTAAGCAGACTTTGCCACTCACTTCGCGGTCACCCGGGCCACCTCTCCACGCGGGCGAGGAACCGAGGTTCCTCGCCCGCACACGCCTGCGGGCGATGGGGCGGGCGGTTGCGAGCGAGCCCCCGGTGAGGTGAAGGGCCTGGGCCGCTTCGCCTGGGAGTCCCGGGAGCCTTCGAAGAACCAGCGCCTCGAGCGGGTCTGGCGAGCGCGGGAGTCGGGGAGTCTTTCGCCTTGGTCAAATTTGCCCCCGGAGGTGGATGGCCCGATGCCCCCCCCCCCGAAAATAAAAAAGAAAGAAGAAGGAAGAAGCGAGAGAAAGATGATGTGATTATGTCCATGTTGTTTTTGTTGGAAAAGCAACAAGAGTACTAGAGACCTTGTTTCCATGCTGTTCGTTTTGGTTTCGGGTGGCTCCCCCCACCCCTTCCATTGTTTCGGATCGTTTTCCAGGGCTTTCACATGGCTTTTCCAGAAGGTGATGGACCTTTTTGCCCCTACGGGGCAACGGTTGAGAGGAATCGGGGCCTCCATGGCTTGGCGTTGATTTCCCTGTGCAG